TCCTGCATCGTGCCATTCTCCCTGGTTCCTTCTTGTTATAGTATTAGTCCTTCTTGTGTTCTTTTTCCTCCTCTTCGTTAAACTCGAATTTCCCCTGGTCTTTGCTCTCATCTTGTCTCCCCCCCTTCTCCCTCTTCCCTGCACTGCCTAACCTGCTCCTCCATTTGCTTCTCCCTCCTAACCCTCTTCCTCTTCCCTGCGCTGCTAATGTGCTCCGCAGCTGTTCCGAACCGGCTCCCCTGCGTTGTCTAACCTTCTCCTCCTTTTGCTTTGCTCTTCCATCAAAGGCCCTCCATAAAATGTCCTCTGTCAAATGTCCTTTGTCTGTCAAATGTCCTCATGCCTTACCTGTTCCTCTGCTATGCTGTTCAAGAACCCATTCCGCCTTAAGTCACATTCTCCACTATTTGGTGGTCGCTGGCCTTAAACCACGAGTACGGCCGACCCAAAAAAACTACCAACCCTGGCCTCCTGGGTAGTTTTTTCTTCGACATTTCTTTGAAATTCGAAACTACTTTCAATTCATTCGTTTTTTTTTTCGAAAACTTTGAAAATATTTTAGACCTAATTTAATTCTTTTTCAACATTTCTTTTTCAGAACATTTTTACTTAATTTTTATTTTATTTTTTTTTTCGAAAATTTTAAAAATACGTTAGAATTAATTAAATTCTTTTTTTAAATATAATTCTAATTAATTCTTTTTCTCCGTAATCCGAAAATTTTTCTTTCGAAATTTCACGTTTTCTTGTAAATAAATTTAAATCCAAATCATAATTTATTTTTTCGAAATTAATTATCTCTTGCTGTTCAGCATTTATTTTATTTATTTATTTATTTATTTATTTTTTTTTGTGAAAAAATATTGGCGATTATCTTTATTTTTGAATTTATTGATTAAAAAAAAAGAAAAAAAAAGGGGATTCCCCCCCACCCTCCACATGCCACCACGCCAAACCAAGAACTCCCAACGTGCTGCCGCCGCCGCCACCGCTGCTGCTGCA